AAAGAACCGTCGCCTGGCGCATCGTTAAAATATGAAGAAGTGAAATGTGCGATATTCTATTCGATCACTTCACAACCGGGCTTATCTGGAATAGATCTAGGAAACTTTCTGATTAAGCAAGTGGTACGAGAACTGCAAGCAGAATTTGTATCCATAGAAGTCTTTTCGACATTAAGCCCAGTGCCAGGCTTCCGGCAGTGGTTAATGAATGCGATCAACATTGAAGGCGAAAAGATGTTGGAAGACGAGGAATTAACTAATCTTAAAAAACTGGAGCAACCTGATCTTGAGCTTGTTAAAAAGAGTAACGAGGCTAGAATTTTGGGTGAATTAGTTAAAAGAAAAGGTTGGTTTGACGATCCTGAACTTGTCAAAGTGTTGAAGCCCATTTTGATGAGGCTTTGCGCAAGGTAGATTTATTAGTTTTCTGGCGTTCTGCTTGGTTGACTTATATTATAATAACCTTTTGTAAATATAATTTATAAGATATTTAATTAGAGAAAAACACAGACATGCAGCACTCGATCCTGTTGGTAAGATCAAACATCTTTGTATAACATATAATAATATGAATATGTGTATTGTGATATTGTTTTATCAGATATTCTCGACGCACTTGCTAATATCAAAATTTTTTTCTTCCAAATAAAAATTTTTTCTATCTTGCCAAATTCCATTTAATCTGAAGCGAACTTCCATATTCGCAACGGAGCTTGTGTTTACAGGTTAAATTGGCTAGGAGACAAATCAGGTGGGATACTTACTTTTCTAAAGAATATCAAAATTGCATGCCATTTCTCTGACATATGCACCATGATACGATAATTTCTTTAACATTTTCATCAAAAGTGAAAAGAATCAAGGAATCGCTTGGGATAATGGTGAATTATAACTATATATTAAAAGATATTGAAGATAATAACAAACGATATTTAAGTAATTACACCATAACCATTTCCGGAGAAGATCCCATACTTTCCAAGGAAGCAAAAAAATCACCAAATGTTAGAATAATTTACGAGAATAACAATTCAAGTCAACCGTAAAAATGGTCGATACAAAATTGCTTTAATAATTTAGTAATTTAGATATTAGATGTCTTATAATACAAACAAACGTTAATGTAGTATTAAAAGGATACTGTATATTTATTTGTTTATAAACTTCATAAATCAATATACACATTATTATTTTATATGTAAAAAAAAGTTTTTGTTATAACAATAAACACTAGTGTTAAATTAGTACTAAGGTCATTTATTGTTTATTGCAATTAACTAGTCAACTTTTTTACATTAAATTAATTGTAAACTCCTATGCTTGAATCAAAACATTTTGTCAAAATTCAGTAGATAAAAATAAATATTATTTCTAATCAATAGTCAAACCCAGACCATCCTACTTATCATTTTTTTTCGCAAAGCTATCATTACCGTTCCCATCATTTCCTTCCTTCTTTCTCCAACCTCTGCCTTTCAACACTTTTCTAAAGCTTTCGTTAAATTTCTTTGCTGCCGCTCCACTTTGATCGGCAATAGCTGATGATGCTATTCCAGAAGCTAAACGTTCCGCTGTAGCTGGCACCACACTATTAAGACCACCCCCGATGGGTGTTGAAAATAATGTTGGAAATGAGCTTGGCATCGATGGTGTAATGAAAGTTGGCAAGGTGACTGATGACATTATATTTGAGTTTTCTGGTAAATCCGGATGATTCAAGACTCGCTGTTGAAACACATCAATAATTTGTTGTTGTTCAGCTTTCTTTAATCCCTGATTATTATTATAATAATTTTGTGAAAGGTTTCAGTATGTTTAAAAAAAAGATTAAGGTTCTATTATATTTAATTACCTTCAATTCCAATATTTTTTGGAAGTTACCAAGATTTTTATCGGCTATTAATAATATATAATTTTCAACAAGACCATCATGTGGGTCGTGAGGTGTAAGAACTGTCTTCAGGATAACCTCAACTTTACTTATTCCCTTGTTAACAATTTTAGTAAACCTATAATATCATTAGAATATAAATGATGATTAAAAGAATTAGATTAAAGAGTTCCCTCGCAGAAGTATGCTGATCTTACGTTGTCGGTGGAGGTGCAGGGTTTTCCATACCCATCGTTGGCATTTCCAGTAATGAGGTCTTCAGTGCATGTACGTCAAGCAACATCTGTTGAAAGTAATTTGTCATTGAGGAGAAAATAGATTGCAACAACTTTCTCCAAAATATTTTATCTACCTGCTCTGCCCCAACTTCAGAGATTGGTTTGCACTTTAGTAAATTACTAATTAACTTAGAAACAAATGATCTGATAAAAATGACAAAAAATAAAAAAAATGTTTTAGAAAAATAATGCGAAACATTGAGAATGAAGATTCACTTACTCTATGAATTTATCGCAAAATGTTCTAAAATAACGATTATTGGTTATATCTTTGTGTATGATAACAACGTTCGACCTTAAGGTGGAGTGGAATAAGGTAACATATCCGGACTGATCACCCACTGAATCCAAGTTATTCCATTGTATTCTCGTCATAGCAATAAGAGCCGGTTCATAACATGATTCAACTCCGCGAACCAGAGATTTTATAGTTGCAGAAACTACACTGTTGAAAACATATATATTAAGAAATTCAAAAAATATCAAATAAAGTATAGAGAAGAAAATATGTGCTCACTTTAGGAAGCAATTACGTTCAGTATCAAAATTTATGTTCCCTTTATATTCATCATCAATCTTTTCTTTTAACTTTTCTTCAAGCTGAAAGTAGGTAAAAAAATTGGATGAACACGAAAGGTGATAAATAACATAAGAATTATTGATATAATCAAAGTAATTACTTGAGATGTTGTGATATAACAATAATCTGCTGTATTGAGAACAAAGCACGCCAACTTTAATTCATCACGCGTCATAGCTTTACGCTCCTCTCTTGTTTTATAGTTTATGGAAATATAAAACAATGTTAAAAATTCAATCAAATGTACGAGCAGTATAATAATAAATTATTGGTTTCATGCAAACTTTGGAAGTCGCCCAGTCAGAACCTCATTCGCATATACTCGAAGCCATTTAGCAAACACATTGCACAAGTCAAAGAAGGGTTTTTTGGTGGATAGCCTGGCACAGTTGGCGAGGGTCTCACGATAAAAATAAAATAAATCTGTGCTGGATTGTAAAACTGAGGTTGACGAATCGTCATCAGGAACAGGCTCCGTCCGATAAGAGGCAATCATTTCAGATAAATTCCTAGAATTTGTTATTGAAGAAATAATGTGATCTCGGAATTCACAAAACAAAAGATATATTACACATATAACCTACTTGTCCTCAGCGTCGATGTACAAACCAAGGTATGGTTCAAAAGCGACGGATATACTTTTGTTAAAATTAATTTCCGATGCAGTATTTTCAGCCATAGATATTTTCTGATGATCCTGGAATAAAAGGTCTAATATTAACAAGAATATCATTTCCGGTATTTATAAAGAATAATTTCGCATACCGCATTTGAAAATCGCTTTAATAATTGACTTTCAAATTCAATAGTCAATTGAAGATTTTTTAATAAAGTTTTGACATCTAACTCATTCTCTGTCTTTG